GGCGGGGGAAGATCAGGGCCGGCTGGGTTACACCCCCTCATAGCTGAGTCTCTGGAGCCCTGCCCAGCTGAGTGCTTCCTGTCCTGGTGCTAGGCACAGCTGGGGCCATACCTAGCTGGGATCCCCTTGTGCTCCCAGCAGCCGTGCACCACTGGATACTGTGCACATCTGGAGCAGAGCTGGGGGAGGTGCTCAGCAGCTAACAACAGAGTCTGAGCTCTCACCCAGATGGTGCTACTGTGGGGAGAGCCATGGTTTGAACAAGACTCAGCTCAGCTTCTGATGGGAACCCGGCCCCTTTATCCTTTTAACTGGGTGTGAGCTGGGGGGAAGGATGTGGGTCAGGGAGAACAGATACCCCCATCTGTGAGAGTGCCACTTCCCACAGACACCCAGTTTGGGGGTGGGCAGAATTAGTGAATCTGATTCTCAACACCTCCTGAGCCAGCCAGTCTTAGATGGGAGTAGGCGCTTCCTAGAGGAGAAATGCCCTAAGTCCATTCCCCACCCGCTCCTCACATGAAGGGTCGCTGTGTAGTGTGAGGCTGGATCCCATGAAGAGCTGTTCCCATTGCACTGGGGGAGGGGCTGAGTGGACTCCAGTGTGTACCTGCTTTTGGCCATACATTCTAGGGGGGCCCATTGCAAGTTTGGCGCTTCTGAAAATCTCACCGTATCCCCCATTGGGTGATGCTGGGCTCTGAGCTTCCATGGGATTGAGCCCCAGCACTTGATAGATGGGCTGGAGATTGTAAAGAGGGGTCAGGATGTTAGGGCCAAAACCCACTGAAAGTCAATGGGATTTAGACACCTCACTCCTGCAGGTGGCTTTGGACATCCCAGCCTGGCTGTATGCAATAGCGGGGGTCAGGTGAAAAGGCCCGGGAAGGAATTAAACACCCACAAAGGCTGAATGTCACAACACTCCATTGATGGTGGCAGCTAGAGAACAGGGAGTGAAATTAACAAGCAAACATGGCAGAGGTGAAGGCACCAACAGATTTGAGATACTACAACAACTGATAACACTGTCAGGGGATCAATGGATAGAGAGGTGGGTGAGGAGGGAGGGATAGATAGAAGGGGTGGATGGACATGGCAAGTGTAATAGAAAGAGGGACCCTGATCCATGAGGCCTGCTATAAAGGGCCTGGCTTAAGGCCTAAAACATGAACTAAAGTCAGACCCTGTTGATATAAAGTCTCTAGAATCACATAAAGACCAAGGGTTGTGACCACACACACATTTCACAAAGACAAGGTCCCCTCTGTTTTACAAGTTGTATTAAAGTTACAGTTGAAGTTAGGATTACCCAACTGTCATAACTATAAAGAGAAGGGTAACAGCCCTCCTGTGTACAGTACTATAAAATCCCTCCTGGCCAGAGACTTCAAAATCCTTTTCCCTGTAAAGGGTTAAGAAGCTCAGGTAACCTGACTGACACCTGACCCAAAGGACCAATAAGGGGACAAGATACTTTCAAATCTTGGTGGGGGAAGGCTTTTGTTTGTGCTCTTTGTTTTTGGGGTGGTTCGCTCTTGGGACTGAGAGGGACCAGACATCAATCCAGGCTCTCCAAATCTTTCTGAACGAGTCTCTCATATTTCCAACTTGTAAGTAAACAGCCAGGCAAGGCGTGTTAGTTTTT